ACTACGTTTTATAAATTTAAATTATATATACATACTTATAAACAAAGCTCATAATTAATATCTGTTTGTTATTAACATAATAAAATATATATTCACTTTTTTTTATATTATTACATTTTACTATGCTTCATTTATTTATGTACATACGATTCCTTGCCCTAAAACCCTCTCAGAAATGAGAGGAGGCCTGTGACAAGCAGTGGGATGTACGGCTACGGTACGTATAGGCTGTAACTTTACTTTACTTTTATTTATATATATATATATATATACAACATGTAACAAAAAATATTTGTGGTTCCCGTTAACTGCGTTATCAGAATCAGTATCCAAGCATATAGGAATAATTTTTTTCCAAAAAAAAAACACATAATTTTTTTTATTGAAAACAAAAATTTGCAAATTGTATGGGGTTTTATTATCTCTGCATTGGCCGAGGAGTAAGAGGATTGTCAAAGACCCCGCATTACCGATACTAGTGTGAGTTAAAGGAAATAAAACCACATACAATTTGCAAATAAATTTTTTGTCATTAAAATTATTTTTTATATGTGTTTTTTTTTGGAAAAATAATTATTTCTATATGGTTGGATACTGATTCTGATAACACACTTAACAGGAACCACTGGGTTTTTGTTACATGTTGTAAATATATATATATATAATACAACCTAATGATCATTTTTATGTAATAGTGCTATGGGACTGATGGTAAGATGATACTAGTCATGTTTTTATTATCTTAATTGTTTTCGTTATAAGTATACCACAGCTTACTAGTTGACTTCGATATATTCATAAAATGTAATTTTAATTTTAGGTATTTACCTATGAAATTGCCGTTTTTTATGAAATAAGTTAACGTAATTTTTACCATATGTTTTATTTTGCTTAATCAAATTAATCACTCACACAATCGATGCATCTTTGCCAGCGCAGTGGCAGTTTATTAATGCCGTTCTTGAAGAACTCAACTGGACGGGTGATGAACGAAAGTCTGTAGGCGCAAGGTCTGGTCAGTACGGCCAAAGACGGAGAGCTTCCTACCCCAGTTCTTGTAACTTGAACTCCGTCTGTTATGCAGAATGAAGTCATGCGTTGTCGCAGGGCACGAGCGATTGACCGGAGCTGATTGGAGACGTGCAAGCAATCATTGTGTACATTTCTTCGCAGTACACAGTCCTACAGTAAAAATTTTATTTTCTATGGAAACACTTTCCCATTTTCACTAATTAATACTTGGTTTGTCGAATATATATTTTCTGACAAAAAAGGAAGATTCATTGATAACAATAGCTTGTTTAGTTGCTAATTTCCCGCGCCTATTTCGATCGTACTTGCGACTGCGTTTTTATTTAATGATAAATAATTTTCACTACAATCAACATTTTCTATTACAAATTTTTGGTTGCATAATTGGCATTTAAACGTAAATTTTGACTCTAAGCCCTTTTGTGTTTCTCCGATAAGTTGTAGTTCGGTGAAGCTGCAATCCAATGGAGCATGATTTGAAATTTTTATTAATTCCGAAAAGAAGTGGCTGACGTCAATTATCTATCTCCTTATTATTTTTCATTACTGCCCTTTTCAGCTTCATAAGATATTTGTAACTGCAAAAAAGAAAACTACGTATAAGTAAGTAGTTTTGACACGATTAAAAACACTGTGGCGCTATAAAAGATTTTTAAAGTTATTCAAAATTCAAAACAGTATTCTAAAATATTAAAAAAAGCCATCAAATTATCCAAAAAATTATGTAACAAATATAAATTTGAAAGTTCTCAAAATAAAAATAAAACTATGTGGCAAATCATAAATAACGAGACTAACAAAAATTCACTAAAAATACCAGATAAACATATATTATGTGATCCTAAAATAGTAGCGAACTTATTTAATACCTTTTATACATCTATAGGAAATTTACACTCAAATAACTGTAATTTAAATAAAACAACTTTAACAAAATCCATCGAAAACACTCTCTTCTTAAGCCCAGTAGAAACTAATGAAATGAATACCATAATAAATAAAAAATCTCTAAAATAAATCATCCTTCGGCATTGATGAAGTGACTCCTATTTTGATTAAAAGTTGTGCTGATTTGTTAACAATCCCCTATACAATATTGGTAAACCAATCTTTTACAGAAGGTATCTTCCCAGATGCCCTCAAAATATGTCTAATCAAACCCTTGCATAAAAAGGGCGAAACTCCTGACATAAATAATTATCGACCTATAGCTCTGTTACCTACATCTGCTAAAATATTAGAAGCGGCTATGGCGAAACGTCTTTGTTCATTTTATGAACAATATAAAATTTTACATGTAAACCAACATGGCTTTAGGAAAAACCACCTCACCACCTTAGCAATTTATAAATATGTAAAAAACATCCTAGACAAAATCGACGATAAAAAATCGCAGTAGGCCTCTCGCTTGATATGAGTAAAGCCTATGACAGAGTCTGTTATAGAACTCTATTAGATAAACTGTATCAAACAGGAATTAGGGGAATAGCTCATAATTGGTTCAAATCCTATCTTGATAACCGCTTCCAATTTGTAGAAATTGAAAATACGGACTTCGAGACAGGCAAAATTACTCATGTCAGATCGGATGCAACCCTCATTACTGGCTCTATCCCTCTAGGTAGCGTTTTGGGTTGTATTTTGTTTCTTATTTACATAAATGATCTCCCAAACATACTGGACGATCTATGCGTGCTCCTTGCAGATGACATCTCCATCTTAATCTCTTGCACTAATTCCACAGATTTAACTACAAAATTGAACTCTACATTAGATAAAATTACTGGCTGGCGACAATTACATAATTTACAACCTAACCTTAATAAAACTAACAGTATTCAATTTAAACCCCACCAAAAAACTGGTTTACAAATATCGTTTAACTATAAAAACACAAAACAAGAAACTGTTAACTCTGGCACTTTGTTAGGAATAGACCTGGACACACATTTGAGTTGGAAACAGCACATACAAAAAGTTGCAAAAAAATATCCTTATTTATTTATGCTCTGCAACACCTTAAACGTGTGACAGATTTTAAGACTGCCCTTGCGGCTTACTATGCACGTGCTCACTCCGTACTCTCCTATGGCATCATCTTGTGGGGAAACTCTTGTGATGTAAACAAATTATTTATATTACAAAAGAAGCGTCTACGAATATTAATAAATTTGGACAAAATGGAGTCATGTAAACCCCACTTCATTAAAAATAAAATTTTAACACTTACGTCTGTCTACATCCTCGAATCTTGTAAATAAGCTTAAGATACCCTTCTCCAAATTAAAATTAGTTTCAAACAGCCCTCGCGTTATGTCAATAAAGGTTTACAACCGTTTACCGAATTCCATAAAAATCCTGGAAAATCCTGTGCAATTTAATAAACAATTAAAAATATTTCTTATTAATAAATGTTATTATAATTTAAATGAATTTTTTGACGATAAATAACGACAAAGTAAGAATACTTAGGCTAGGTACATTGTATTTCAAATTAAATTAATTTATATAAAATAATATTGAATGTTGATGATATGATAATTTGTATTTTATGTTTAAAAATTAGATAATACGAAAATAGTTAGCTCTCTAGTGTTGCTATGCCATTGCGGGGCGTCACATGTATAGCTATCAAAATTGTACCATCTTAAATTTGTAATGTGACATGCAATAAACAACTTGAATTTGAAGTAAATCAATAATACAGTGTTATGTATGATTCAGACTGAACAAAGGCTCCTAAAAATAGATATAGATAAAGAAGTATTTATATCTACGTACTTAGTACTTATTTATACCTAATTACAATACCTACCAAGGTATTGTGATTAGATTTTACTGGGTAGGCATTAGCACCTACTGGTCTGCTTAGTGCTAATACCTACTTAGTATTAGTACCGTAAAATGCCTTAACTTTGCAGGAATTTAGAGGTTTTTGTGATACATATTTCTTGACACATAACACAAAAGAGACATATCACATATAAAGAAAAAATGTAAATCAGAACTTTGTGCGCCTATCAAAATAACACACTATAGTCTACACCTCATATTTTCCGAGACATGAGCTTCCTAATATCCACGCCAAGTTAATGGCATTTCCTCTACTTTGCCTAGGCAAAAATATCGCAGTTTAAAATACGTTTCCAAATAGACAGATTTCGCCCCCATAAAGTATTGGTTTATTATCCCTACTTATCCACGACATAAAGTGTAAAACTTTTATTTTTTTTATTAGGAAGGTAGGCAATGATTTTAAACATTTAGTCCTTTTATGGGAAATCTTTCAGGGTTGTCACATTGTAATCAAAGGAAAATAAAACAACTTATTTGTTAAAAAGGGTCATTCCGTTTATCCACATGTATACACATACTACAGGGGCATCGACGGAAATCTGATATCCGTCTGGGTGAGAGGTCAGCAGAAGATCCAACAGGGAAGGTGCATGATCCTCCACATCTGGAATCGGCGTAGGCGAAGTAACCAGTTATCTCAGACCATATGCCAAGGCAAAATCATGAATAAATCTCCCCGCATGATCGGTTAAACGTGAACTAAGCCATTCGGCGTGATGGGCGTTAAAGTCGCCGAGGATCACGATCTCTGTGGAGGGGATTTGCTGTTGTAACGAATCTGTAGCCATTTGGACATGGTCGAAGAGTCGGTTTGTTTCGGTATTACCGTTAGGGGACACTGTGATATTTTTAATAGAGATTTCTGTTAAGCAATGTACTTGAGATAATTTGCAACTATGATGCTGATCATTTTACAAACTCGATCAACAAAAGCTGTTGGAAACAAACACTTCTGAAATCAAATATATTTTACGCATTAAATTAAAATATTATCATTATTTCAATGACCCGAAATCGGCACATAGGATTATCTTAAACTTTGACTTAACCGCTGTATCTATAACGATAACTTCTAACTAACGTCTCAATTCGCAATCAGAATCTCATACACGATGTATCGTTTCGTGATCTTATTTGCTCTCTTCAGTTTCGCTTACAGCCGCCAACACTGTCACGACGATCCCGCTTGCAAGGCCACAAGACGTTTAAACAACAAGAACAACAACTACTACGGAAGAGTATTCGACAAAGTTTCCCGCAGTTTCATCACTTCTGACACAGAAATCCAGCAAGCCTGCAATGTAAGTACGAGCAACCTAGTCAGTCAAGTGTTCGGTTTAAATAACTACGTTCTTAAATACAAAATACCGACTTTCGAAGAAGATGAATTATCGATCGTAATCAGACATAAAGTAATGTATCTGAGAGCTCAAAAAGAAAATGGTCTCAGTTTTAGAGATGTCAGGGTTCTGCCGGATATTGTGAAGACTCAAGACGCGAAATGGTTTACGGAGAACGACGCACTACATATTTCATTCCCGTACAAAACTCCACTTCAAGTGGAAACAACAACAACCTGTGACATTAATATCATTGATTATGCTATATATGTACCAAAATTGACGATGGATTTGAATGAACCGCAAAGTGGAAATATCAAACCAACATAACTGTTGCCAGTGCTGGCGCTTAATTTTCGAACAATTCTTTGATATCCTTATTAATTTTTGTAACATTCCCGCAAATAAAGTTTTATGATTTTAACTAATAAAATTTGTTTTACTATACATACTCTTAACATTTTTGTTCTGTTCTATGTATTACAAAAAAAATATTTTCTTATTTACTGTTGTACACAAACTTAAACTATATTTTTTATACTTAAATTATATAACATACTTTTGTACAAAGCTAATTATAAATATCTATGTTTGTAATTAATATAATAAAATATATATTCACTTATATGTTACTATGTTTCATTTATGTACATGTACTTGTTACTCTAAAAGACACACAATTATAATAATTTTGCTCAACCAATTTTTTTTGCTGTGTATCCTAAAAGCGAATATTAAATTGTAAAATATAGTATGTGGGCTTAGTTGCTAGGCAAATAAAAGCGTCTTCACTCTTCTAAAAATGTATATATTCTTCTTTTACAAAGATACTTTAAAATTCCAAGCACGAAGCCACAAAGATAAAAAGAAATTAATAAGAAAATACAATTAATTAGAAGTAAGGAGTTCTTGAGATAGGAAGCCGAGAATAAGTTAGTCGCGATTTAAAATAACCGTTATTCTAGCGGCGCGAGCGTGGGGTCTAGCGCTGAGGCCGTTTTAATGCAGACTGCCGGTAAAATCCGAAGGCGCCCGGACTGTCACGAAAGCAGATTTAACGGAGCCGAGCATTCCCGACCGCAACCGACACGAACCTCGCGTCGGCGCGTACGCCGTTACCTAAACATGCAAAAGAATGACAAAATTGCATGTCGCCACATCAGCCCCCCCGGAGACCTTTAGGGTCGATAGAAATCAGGGAATCGTACTCGGCGACCGTAGCGAGACGTCCTAAATTGCGGAGGAGTTGAAAGTGCTCTTGTACCATCACTCGCAGCGTTAGTCCCATGCGTTCTAGGCATAGTCGACGTCGCACCAGAACTACCTGGTTCATCCGTCAGGACATAGGCCGGTTTCAACCTGTCGATCGAGACGTTGACTATTCTACCAGCAACGTCGATTTTGAATTTTTTTTTTACCGCGCTCTAATACCTTATACGGACCGGCATAAGGTGGTTGTAAAGATCTGCGTACAAAGTCCTGTCGTAAAAATACATGTGAAACAGTCGATAAATCTTTAAAAACGAAGATTTTATGCGTACCGTGTCGAGTAACTATTGTAGGTTGTAACCTTTTCATATGTAAACGCAACCTGTCCAGAAAGTCGGTGTAATCAGTCAGTCTGTCAGCCGTCGGTTCAAACAAGTCGCCGGGTAACTTAAGCGGTTCTCCGTAAACTAGTTCAGCAGTAGAAGTAGACAAATCGTCCTTCCATGCACTACGAATACCCAGAAGTACAAGTGGAAGTTTCTCGGTCCAGTTCTCGTCTGCGTGACATATAATAGCTGCCTTAAGTTGTCGATGGAAACGTTCCACTAGACCATTGGCAGCAGGATGATACGCAGTAGTTTGTATATGTCGTGAACCTATAAGCGCTGATATCTGACTGAAAAGATGGGATTCAAACTGTTTCCCCCTATCTGTGGTTACCTTTTCTGGGCAACCAAAACGTGATGTCCACGATGATATAAAAGCTTTTGCTACACTCTCCGCTATGATGTCCTTTAACGGCACTGCATCTGGTCACCTGGTAAACCTATCTATAGCTGTAAAGCAGTATCGGTAATCATCAGAGACGGGAAGTAGACCTATCAAGTCTACGTGAACATGAGAGAAACGGGCCGTAGGAAGCTTAAAATCCTGGATAGGGGCGTGTACGTGTCTCGATACTTTCGATCTCTGGCATGAGATACACGAGCGCGCCCAACTCCGGCAATCTTTTCTAATGCCCGGCCATACATACCTCTCAGTCACCAGTTTAATAGTGGCCCTAGCACTTGGATGACTAAGTCCATGAATATTGTCAAAAACCATTTTACGGAATGCAGGTGTTATGAATGGTCTATGTCTGGGCCCAGATATGTCACAGAAGATTTTCGTACCACCAATACAGACCTTCTGTAACTTGAGAGACGAACCGGTTCGTAAAATATTTTTGAGTTCTGAGTCCCTGTCCTGAGAAGCCGCTAAGGCAATAGGGTCTAGCGAGCATGTTACTGCATCCGTTCTTGATAACGCATCCGCAACAACATTGTCCTTCCCTGTAATTTGACGGATATCCGTTGTAAATTGGGATATAAAATCTAAATATCTAAGCGAAAAAAAAAAAACAAAAACCGCCCACAAAAGGGGGGGGGTTTGCCAGCTTGGCAGCATCCTGTATAAAGCGTCTATAAAAGTTTAATGCTCCTAAAAACCGCCTAAGATCCCTGATAGTTTCAGGTAGTTTAAAGTCAAGAATAGCCTTCACCTTATCACCAACCGGTTTAGTGCCTTCCGAAGAAACCAGGTAGACCAGAAACTGCACCTGCGGCACGGCGAATACACACTTATTTGTATTTAATAAAATACCGTATTCGCTGAAACGCGAAAATACCGCACGTAGATGTTCCTGGTGCTCCATCTCATTAGCGGAAGCAACTAATACGTCATCGATGTACGCAAAGCAGAACTCGAGATCCCTGAGGACCTCGTCCATAAAGCGCTGAAAGGTTTGCGAGGCATTCCTCAGACCAAAGTTCATTAGTGGGAATTCAAAAAGTCCGAAGGGTGTCGTAATTGTTGTTTTCTCTACATCCTCTATCGCAACCGTTATCTGATGTTAAGCTCGCACTAAGTCTAATCTACTAAAAATTTTGCAATTAAAGAGATTGTGCGAAAAGTCAGCAATGTGGCGTACTGGGTATCGATCTGGTATCGTGCGAGCATTTAGTGCACGGTAATCCCCACAGGGTCACCAACTTTCGCCTTTTTTAGGCACTAAATGGAGGGGTGACGACCATGAGCTCTGCGACCTACGCGCTATACCCGTACGAACCATTTCTTCAAACTCCTGCTTCGCGATTTTTAAGCGATCAGGTGCTAGTCGCCTTGGTCGCGAACACACAGGTGGGCCTGGGGTCGTTCTGATATAATGCTGCGTATGGTGCTTGATTTTCGGCTCCAAAGGAGCTCCGACAAGCCGCATTATATCAGGATATTCTTGAAGTATCCGATGGAACGCTGAATCACCTGAAATGACCTTTATGTGCGGGCACGGGCAAGCAAATGCAATCGAGGCGACTGATGTAAGCGAAGTGCAATTATCAATTAATCGCGAATTACGCACGTCCACGAGTAAGTTATTAAAGGATAGAAAGTCTACACCTATTATCGGCTTGCTCACAGTAGCTATTACAAAGCGCCAAGAAAATGCGCGCCTTAAACCTAAATCTAAACATAAACTTAACCAACCATATCTAGCGATTACAGTATTATTTGCAGCAAAAAAGCTCATAATTAGTTTTATTGCGTCGCTGCATGCGCACTAAGCTCAATGGGTAAACACACAAATCAGATCCAGTGTCAGAACAAACGCTTAGCGTTCGACTTACACTCATCAGCGGTCGCAGCTATCGACCGCCCAACTAGTTTTTTGGATAATTACAAGGCTTTATACACTTAGCTGCTTTCTCGCCGTAGTTGAAGTGATACCAGCAGTATTGCTGGCCATCAGCACGAGAACGACTTCTCGACTGACTGCGGTGCCGGCTGCTGAATTTCGACCTCCTTTTCGGGAAGTCACGACGTCTTCTTGCTGTCGACATTTCGTCGAGCCTCTTGGTCAGCGCATCAATCTTCCGATTTAGGTCTTTGAATGCTGGAGATGAGCATAAAGTGGATGTGGTAGCTACTTATTGTGCTGACGTTTGTGGCGTGGCCTCAGCTACTTTATCGGCTAATTGGGCAAGTTGGTCGAGCGGATGGTTATCTTGCATAGCCACTATAGTTTGTAGCAAACTGGGTAGCCGACTCGACCATAAGGTACGCAGGATCTCATCTGGGAACCCTGATCCAGCTAAACCACGAATATGCCGCAAAAACTGGCTTGGCTTGCGATCTCCCAATTCCTCATTCATGAGCAACTGTTTGATTTGCTCGCTTCTTGAAGCAGATAGTCTAGCAATCAACTCACGTTTTAATGTGTCGTATTTCTCGTTCGCCGGTGGTCTAATTATTAGATCTTCGACTTCCGCAGCAATTTTTGGATCCAACACTGATATTACATGATAATATTTTGTGACATCCGATGTAATATTCGCTAATGCGAATTGGCAATCCAACTGTGCAAACCAAAGCGTCGGTTTCTCGGGCCAAAATGGCGGCATCTTAATGCCTACTCGGCAAAGTACCGCTCCCTTGTCACTAGTGCTGCTTTTCGCTGCGTCTGCGCTAGCATCTTGCCACATTTTTTTGTACTTTGTACGCTATGTTCTTCTCGGGGTCACCACTTGTGGGCTTAGTTGCTAGGCAAATAAAAGCATCTTCACTCTTCTAAAAATGTATATATTCTTCTTTTACAAAGATAGTTTAAAATTCCAAGCACGAAGCCACAAAGATAAAAAGAAATGAATAAGAAAATACAATTAATTAGAAGTAAGGAGTTCTTGAGATAGGAAGCCGAGAATAAGTTAGTCGCGATTTAAAATAACCGTTATTCTGGCGGCGCGAACGTGGGGTCTAGCGCTGAGGCCGTTTTAATGCAGACTGCCGGTAAAATCCGAAGGCGCCCGGACTGTCACGAAAGCAGATTTAACGGAGCCGAGTATTCCCGACCGCAACCGACACGAACCTCGCGTCGGCGCATACGCCGTTACCTAAACATGCAAAAGAATGACAAAATTGCATGTCGCCACAAGTATCTACCGTTGCAACTAACATTTCACAGTTGTCGCTTCTTGCTATTTAACATTTCATTGTTCTTTTATTCTTATTACTTTTATTTAAAAATTTTACTAGAATATAAGTGTATCTAGTCTTATTGTTCATTTACGAAGAAAATCATTTATCGT